TCGTTTTAATGCAGCTAATGGTACAGTCCAGCTGCTATGGTTTACGTGTCATCAGCTGAGGATATATCGCTGCTTGGAGATCTGTCATGACGAAGATGCCCCGTAGCCTTGAGGAGTGACAGCGGCCATTCTTTCATTGGTCAGTCTACAGTTGACAGCGGTATTGTCATCAATTTCATGAAGCTGAGAGACTGGCAAATCACTATGGAAGGGGACCGGTATATCGCCAAACTTGGCTCTGGCTTGAATCTACTAGAGATCTACTCTAGGCTAGCTCGCCATCACCCACCCCTTGGGATCGCTGCTGGTTTGCGTCCATCTGTTGGTTTAGCTGGTTTGGCCTCGGGCGGTGGGTACGGCACCAGCTCGGCGAAATACGGTGCCACCGTTGATAGAATAGTCGCTGCTGAAGTGGTCGTCTATAATCGAGATGGAAAACGGTTCGAGTTGGTTACCGCTACCGGCTACAACGAGCATTCTGACCTTCTTTTTGCTGTACGCGGCGGTATGGGCGGCAACTACGGTGCACTAGTTTCCATCAGTTACGATGCGTTTCCTGTCGCGAACGTGGTTAGTATGGTTGCATTTGAGCCTCTGGTTGACCTTCCGGTACAAGCTCAAAGTATCAAAGCTTTTCAGGAGTTCATGCACTCCGATGCTGCCGGACCCCAAATTTACAGTATCTTGAGGCTTCTCGGTTCAAGCGGCGCTGAATATAATGTCCAGTGCATTTGCGACGCTGACTGTGTGACTTGCCACGCCAAATTGGATACAATGCAAGCTGCCGTCGGAATCATTGATCCTCTACGTATTGAACAAGACTTCGGGAAATCTATGTGGTTCTGGGCTGGGTGTACATCTGACTCGGCTTCCGATCTCTACCCTGCTGATGGTATTGGTAGCTTCAGCGAGGGAGAGCTACAGGAGGCCATGGCGTCTTGTCTGGTAGCAGACGCCGCTATCTTGTCAATCCCATACAAGCCCAAGTGTATGTTCTTCCCCCGCATCATGTCCATAGAGTTGTTGGAGTCCGTCCTCGAAGGTCTGACTCTCCCTGTTTGTGGTACTTTCCCCGACTGCGTGGTTATGATGCATTTCCAAGGTCGAACCTTGCTGGAAGAGCCTCAGAATTGCGATCTAAGTCATGGCAAGTGCACCGCCTATGATCACCGGAGCCCTGGTTGG